GACTTCCCTTTCCTTTCCTTTCCTTTTCCACTGACCCCCTCAGAACCTCCCCGACTTGCTCCACTTACACAAACAGCCTTTATTAGCCCCAGTTAAGCAAACAGCAGCCCTGTTTGGTTAAGCTTTCTATGGAACAGATCACACTTTTGTTTACGTCGATCAGATTTCGGAGGAGTTCCGTCACTCCGCGGCTGAAATCAGATTGAAATCAGAGATTACGAGGTGTGAACTTAACCCCGCTTTCACCTTTAGGGAGGTCAGAAATGGTCACTCACAGAGGAACTAAAGTAGACCCCAGCATCTCAGAGAGAAAGAGACCTTCATGTGGGTTCAAACCTGGAGAAACTAGAGGGAAACGACAGAGTAGAGAGCAGGAAAAAGGGAGAAAACGGACAAATAAAGAAGGTAACTGATGGAATTAAGTAAACCCAAATTAAAAGACAGGACAGGAATAAAGGAATGAAGGAAATAAAATAAATAAGGAATAAAAGAAACAGGAATAAAAGGAACAGCAAAGGGCAAAAAAAACTAATGAAAGGAGCCCGACTGTTAAAAGAGAAAGGATGAAGTGTTGAGGAAAAATGGCTTTTTAGCAATGCTTTATTTAAAAGATGTCGTCATGTGTTTGTTAACAGGCTTCCTCATCACAAAGCCATGGGTGAGTCATGCTATGAAGATGTTCCACATTCCACCTGACAGGATATCCAATAAGACTACTCGTAATTTCCTCTCAAGTCGAAATCACAAAACCATTTCGTTCTTAAAGTTACAGGCTTTTAATCACACAAAGGCTTAATAGTACATTATTACATATTTACAGTCTTACAAAAACACAAAAACACACTTGTACCTCATTGGCCGCTTTCCCTTGAGAGAAAATTAGAATCTCCAGTCCTTCAGTTTCCCCATATCAAACAAACAATATACAGGAAATATATGAAATTATGATGCTTTTAATATTAAACTGTTATTACTACAAATGTATATTTGTGATTTCTATATTTTTAACCTAATATCTATTAATTTATTTTGTATTTTTTTTTATTCTGAGGTTTTGTTAAAAAAAATTAAATTTTTTTAAAATCTAATAAATAAATAAATACATTTTTAAAAATAAAAACTTAAAAAAACAAAGGTTTTGTTAAAAAAAATAAAATTATTTTAAAAAATGTAATAACATTAACAGGCCACAAACCGTACTACAATATCTTCCAACTCAACTTTTACCTTTTAATAAAAAATATCTTAAAAACTAACTTAATTTCCTCCTTACCAGTTGTGTATCTGGTGATTGGACTATGAGCTGAAACCTGATTGGCTGAGAGCCGGTCTCTTCTTTTGTCCGCCACACAGGTGTGCGCAGGTGTTTTAAACACAGGAAGTTCCAGCCCCCAAAACAAGCTCACTCCTCTTTTTTCCTACCTTTTCCTCTTTTTTTTTTTACATTTGACATGACACACATTGAGAACAGACAGCCTGAACATGTCTTTTTACCCACTAGTAACATGACATTTACAATCTGTACAGAAGCATAAGATTGTCCATTAATGTGCACTGTCCTAAATAAATAAAGAAAAAAAGAAAAAAAAAAACTAAGAAAATATAATCTCCATATTCGACTCATAAAACAAAATATTCTCAGATTAAAAACCTAGTTTTTATTTATTTCATTTTATTTTTTTGTTGTTTTGTTTGGTTTCTATGCGTTCCTTTCTGTTGTATTAGGTTGCACTGTCCTGATTAGATAAATACATTTTTTTTTAAAAAAGCTAAGAAAAAATAATCGCCATATTCGACTCATAAAACAAAATATTCTCAGATTAAAAACCTTGTTTTTATTTTTTTTATTTTATTTTTTTGTTGTTTTGTTTTGTTTCTACGTGTTCCCTTCTGTTGTATTAGGTTGTAATATACCCTTTTACCTTTATCGGACTAATGTACAGTATCTGTTTCTCTTTAAAATCATAAAAAAAGTTCACAAAAAAACCCTCTGTGTTACATGATTTTACATTTACAATATCTATACATTTCACAGCTCAATAGACGAGAGACTAAATGTGTTTTTTTCTTTTGAGAAGCACACTCGTCCCACCTTTTCTGTCATTAGAGCAGTGTTTTTCAACCTTTTTTGAGCCAAGGTACAGTTTTTCATTGAAAAAATCTCGAGGCACACCACCAACCAAAAATGTCAAACAAATCTGTAGCCGCCTATAGTAACACTATAGTTATTCTTATCTTATTCTTATCTTAAGTGTCTTGGATAGGAATCAAATAAACACAAAAATGTATTTTTATCTTATTTTATATTTCTTCTTTCAAATTGCTCTCAACATGTCCACTTCAATATGCAAAATTATATACCAAATCTAGTCATAAGGAATTATTACATGATTACGCCACCAGTCACTACTACAGCACAGACACTCAAAAATCGAATATTATTTGCAGAAAATTAATTCCCTATCAAAAAAATTTTTTAGACCAATTAGGAAAAATAGGATGATTTTCTACGGCACACCTGACCATCACTAGTGTGCCGAGGCACAGTGGTTGAAAAACACTGCATTAGAGGACGTGAAATAAGCCAAACGGCG